CACCGATCACCGGGATAGAACATCCACCTCCCGCCCCGTCGGCCCCGCCGGCACAGCACTTCCTCACACACTTTCTGTAAATAACTTATTGTTTGGCATTTGTCGCTGACATCTTTTTACGAAAAATCCTCTCCTTAGGATTTTTTCCCTTCTGAGAAGCTGAGAAGCCTCAAGAGCAAAATGTAAACATTGATTATTTGCTGCTGTAGAATGCAACAGGTGCATCTGTGATTGGTCTCATGTGGTTGTTTCTAATTAATGGCCAATCACCACCCAGCTGTCCGAGCCACAAGCGTTTGTTATCATTCTTTGCTATTCTATTCTTAGCTAGCCTTCTGATGAAATCCTTTCTTCTATTCTTTTAGTATAGTTTTAATGTAATATATATCATAAAATAATAAATCAAACCTTCTGAAACACGGAGTCCGATCCTTATCTCTTCCCTCATCCTTGGACCCCTGTGAACACTGTCACATCCAAAGTTCTCACACCTTTGCCCTCTCCAACCATAAAGGGGAGGAAAAAACCAAATAAACCAAAAAAATCTAATAATCCTAAAAATCCTAAAAAATCTCCCACTTGGATAAGTGTGAGACACACGAACAGCAGGGCCTGGAGGGGCTCCTCAAGGCTGGGGCAGATCCTTGGCCTCACAACCACAAGAGCTGAGGAACTGTGGAGCAGGACAAGGGGAGTGTCCCATACAGCAGAGTAGTTGTTTTATGATGATATTTCAGTCTCTGTCAATAGTTCAGTTCAGAATGGACTGCCGTGGAAATGTCATTTAAGCCCAGCAGTGTCCTCCTCACCAAAAGCTGCAATATGAACATAAATTACTGGAACTCTTAAAAGTCCTGAGTGAATGCAATGGTGTGGATTTGGAAATGGACGCATCCTAAGATTTGCAATGTTGTTCTCAATCTCTCAACCGATGCTTTAAAATTCTCAACTCTGATTACAATAATTGCTACTGTGACGCCCAGGCTCTGCAGAGCAGGGAACACTGTCCCTCCTCTTCCTCTCCTCACTGAAGGTTTTACACCCATGGAGCTGCATCTCCTCAGCAATTAAAGAGCAGCCAGAACTGGCACCAAACCCAGACATAGCACTGTGCTCTGCAGCCAGAGGGTCAGACAGAGACCAGAGTCCAGAGGTGGAAAAAAGAGAGAGGAATCATCTTTATTTGTGAAGTGTTAACAGATGGAACAGCTCAATGCTAACCAGCAGTAAAGGTGTTAGACTCCCCTGAGCACCCGTCTGCTCACAGCCCCCAAATCACAACGGCTCAAGCACAAAGCACAAAGCTGTTAAAACCTTAAAATCACCCCCAGCCCCAGCTCAGCCTGCCCCTCCCCACTGCACAGACACGAACAACCCATGGAATAAGTTACAGCAATCATTTATCCAGCAATCATTTATCCAGCATCCAGCCCCTGGCTGCACAGTAACCAAGAGCAGCTTGGCAGGAGCTGACAGGGAGCCCTGGCCAGGGAAAAGGTGCAGCCCTGCTCCTGGTGATGCACTGGGAAAGACACAAAACCCCTTCCTGAACCCTCTCAGGTCATCTCCCCACAGCCACCAAAGCAGCTCCTCCCTCATTCCCATAAGCAGGTGAGACACAGCTGCATTCCCACCCCCCTTCCCCACTCTGTACCAACATGAAATAACCTAGGACAGAGACAGTCAAGAGATCTAGACTACCAGGAACAAAGGATTTTACATTTTACAGGTAGAAAAAAAACCCTCCCACGACTCTTTAAAAAAAAAAAAAAAGTGTATTTTATATTTCTACAACTTAAAAGTTTCCTTAGAAAGTGAAGTAACTGAATCTCAGGGACGCACTAGAATATTCCATGGTGCTATTTTACCAAAAAAAAAAAATACAAGAAAATAAAATTGTCCAGACGAGTTCTTCATCTACGCATCACCTGGTAGGAGAGAAAGAAAAGCCAGTTAGATAAAGTGGAGTGGGGTGGCAGAGCTGGGCCAGAAGGGGCTCTGGTTTCTCCAGGAGCCTCAGCAGGCTCAGACCTGCAGCTCCTGCCCCAGGCACCCACCTGGGCCTCTCTCAGTTGGCGTTCCTCTGGCGGACGTTCTTGTCCTTGTGGTTTGTGGCATTGCTCTTCCTGGGGAGGGAGAAGGGATGTGAGGAAAGGGAGAGCACAGAGCCCCCCCAGCAGCACCCCTGACCAACAAATGCCCAAGCAAGGGGTGAAAATCAGACCCCAGAGCAGGGTCAGACACTGGTGCCACCCCAGGGATGTGTGGGGACATCAAATGAACCATGGGGGGACATCTGCCCCCACTGAGGATCATCCCACACTGTCACAGATATCTTTTACGGAAAATCTTTTCTTTTAAGATTTTTTTCTTCCTGAGAAGCTGAGAGGCTTCAGGAACAAAATGTAAACAATGATTATCTGCTGCTGTGGAATGCAACAAGTAAATCTTTAATTAGCCCATGTTGGATGTTTGTAATTAATGGCCAATCACAGTCAGCTGACTTGGACAGAGCTGAGCCACAAACCTTTGTTATCATTCCTTCCTATTCTATTCTTAGCCAGTCTTCTGATGAAATCCTTTCTATTCTTTTAGTATAGTTTTAATGTAATATATATAATAATATAATGTAATATAGTTTTAATGTAATATATATAATAAAATAATAAATCAAGCCTTCTGAAACATGGAGTCAACATTCTCGTCTCTTCCCTCATCCTCAGACCCCTGTGAACACCATCACACCACACCAGCTTTTATCTTTATATGTAAAGCTTTTATCTTCGGAGCAGATTCCCTGGCTGGGTGAGATGTACCAGTACAAATCTGGCTAAACAGGAACAGGCAAAGGTACTCACAGTGGTGCAGAGCCTCCATCATCATCTTCACATTCAGGACAGCACAGGAAAGAGAAAACAAAATATAAATAGTCAGGGAAGAGGACATCCAAAGTGACCTCTGCCTGCCCTTAAAGCAGTGGGAAGTGCACTCCAGGCAGCCATTCTCACCATTCAAACCTGGGATCAGCTGCCCTGATGCACCCCCTGTGCTCACCCTCAGGACCTGGGATGGCTCCCAGAGCCCAGCACACTCCCAGCAGGTACAGGGGAAGCCAAACAGGATGTTCAGGACGAGGATTGAAGCAGCAGCAGCAGCAGGAAGCCCTCCCTCCCCTCCCCACAACGCTGTGCTACCAAAACAAACACTGCACACCACGTTCTGAGCAGCACAGCTAAGGAAACACCTCTAACAAGCCCTGCAGCCTTTCACCAGCTCCCTGAGGTCTCCTTTGCTCCTCCATCACCTTTTCTCCAACCCTGAGCACTGGAGCTGCCCATGGCTGGTGACAGGGCAGGGACAGACACATCTGGAACTGCCTTTACTTACCAGGAGAGGTGGCACCCAGCAGCACAGAAAGGAAGAGTGGACAGGTAACACCAGCAAGGATATCACCCCTAAGTCAGGTCAGACTGTCCCCATCCCAGGCCAGATTGTCCCCACCCCATCCCAGCAGGGTCCAGCTCACACAAAGTTCTGGGGGGAACGTGTTATAGGAGCCTTCTTGAGCTAAATCTAATAAGTTCTCAGAGGTCTGTAACACAGCCAAGGTAGCTCAGCTACCTTTGGAGGCATAAAAATCAGCAGGATGGCCTGTGTGGCAGTGTTGGAAACAAAAAGGTTTAATAAAAGGTAAAATAACAAAAAGAGAAAACTGAGCCAGGTGCAGGTCCTTGCTCCTGGTAAAACACCTCACAAAAACCATTTGTTTCTTTGTTCACTTCTTTTTCTAGTAAATTACCCAAGCAAGTCTTCTCAGTTTCTGTCTAACTGGCCATCTTGAAGTTTGAGGTGAAGTTCCCTAGACTTATGAGGTGTTGTTTTTCACATAATCAAGGAGAGAAACTTCTGGGCTTCTTTCCTTTTTGAGGGGACAAAAGAGAGTTTTGTCACCCCATCAACAGAGGGCACATTCCTATAGGAACTGGCTCAGACAGGCCTCACTGTCACCCCTCAGGAGGGGCAAAGCTACAGAAATTTTGGGGCAGAAAAACACAGATTATACCAGGGAAGTAGGGGCAAAGCTAGAGGGACTTTGAGGCAGAAAAAACCACTATGTGGGGGCAAAGCTACAGAGATTTTAGGGCAGAAAAAATCACTTTATACCAGGGCAGTGTAAAGCCAGGTGTGGTTACCAAAGGGATGTGATGCTCTCTCCTCACCCATGAGCATTTGGGAACTCGAGCTCCTCTTGCCAAGGAGCATCAGGACATTTCAGGACATTTATCCGTCTGTCAAAGCATCTCCTACAGCTCTGATCACAAAGTGTTTTTGCTGGGAGATGCAGCCACAACATCTTTAGGACATCAGGGGTGTCAGAGGGCAGAACAGCTGCTTGTGAAACCGCCTCTGGTGGAATTCCAAGCCCTGCAGTCAGGGCAGGGATGTGACATTTATCCCCTGTGCTGCTCCTGCAGGGGTCCAGGGCAGGAAGGATGCAGAGAATTCACACTGCATTGTTAACAGCATCAGATAAAGGAGCTGACACAATGCAGATGCTCAGCGATAAGGAAAGGGAGGAGCTGCTGCTTCCAGAACAGATTAAAGATAGCAGCGGGTCTTTGAGATCCAGGATGTTCTGGATCTGATGACCCAAAACATCCTGAAGTGAACACAAGATTTACAGTCACACACACAGCTCTCAGCACCACAAAAGCCATAGTAACTTATTTACAAACCACCTCGTGCAGAGTGGGAGCTGCCAAAGCAAACCCAGCCCTGCAGACACTCAAGGAGAGGAACTGGAGAGACAAAGGGTCAGGCTGACCTGCTCAGAACCCTCTCCTGCTCCAGACTCACTGCAGCACCGCCACAAACAGTGCAATTCATGCCTGAAGCACAGATTGGTTCCTCAAATACCCTCAAACCACCCCTGCTCTGAGAGGGACCTCAGAACCCCCCACAAGCTGCAAACCACTGATATTCCCACACTATTGCATTGTGATTTCAGGGTTTACCTCAGAACCTTGGGTCCCACCCCTGATAATTCCCTCCCAGGTGTGTCAGTGACCTTTCCTTTCCCCTCCCAGCAC